TACTGCCAAGGCGTTGAATTATGACACCATTTAAAATTAATTCTGAAATGGGTTCATTGCTGTCAGTCATGTCAAACTTCAAAAGATAATAAACCTGCAAAGGTTTTAACTACTTCATAAAAGGCCATAAAAGAGGTTTATAAAGCGGCTTAAAACGGTGACAAATGTGACTTTAACACTCAATGAAAGCCTTCACACCCTTAAATAAAACATCAAAGTGTTTAAACCTATCAAAACATATCTCCCTAATACTTGGTATCTTTAAAGAAGAAGAAGAAACAAAAAACATTTGTAAATGTCCGGTTGCCACTTTTGTGAAGTTTTTTCGTCCCTTCTGACTTGTATTTTTCTTGGCACCACATTTCCAGCACAACTTTCTTTCTTTCTTTCTTTCTTTCTTTCTTTCTTTCTTTCTTTCTTTCTTTCTTTCTTTCTTTCTTTCTTTCTTTCTTTCTTTCTTTCTTTCTTTCTTTCTTTCTTTCTTTCTTTCTTTCTTTCTTTCTATTTTTTTTACACATTCAGCTACAAACAGCTTAACATTTCAAAACTCCTTAATCCCGTCTCCCAAATGTCCCCTTCTTGTTTTATATCCACTAAACTCAACACCAGTTGTCTATGGCGTCAGTCAGCATGTAAATGTACCCAGTGCTGATTTGACAAAAGCGGCATGATTACTATTACCTTTTGATATCAATGAAATCTCATCACAAAGTCCATGTGATCCCCCCAGTGGCTCCCTCAGTGTGTGTGGGCCTCCCGGACTGCGCGCCGTCAGGGGAGACATTTGTGCCGAGGACAAACATGAATTTGCCAACAAGTGGGATGGGGGCCATCGGGCGGGTCCGTTTGTGTCATCTCTGAACAGTTCAAGTGTGACAGCAGTGGAGGGGCCGTGGATGTGGCTGGGGGAGAGTTGAACTTCAGTGTGACGCTGGACATTTGGGTAAAATTACCAAGGAAAAACGATGTTTCCTTTTATAGAAACAATGAAAAAAATGAACCTCGTGAAAGACATTTACATAAAGACATATACTGACGTGTAAATGTGGTTGAAAAGTGACAATTAAATAACCCAACGACAGAAAGAGGGTTGTCTAATGTCTCCAGTGTCCAGTGGGCTACCACATTATAATGTTTTTTCCATTGCTTAATTAAATATATGAACTTTCCAACCTTTGATTGCCCCGAAACAGAAACGTCCACGAACATGTGGCGTGTTGGAGGGCCACCAATAAAGCCTGTCCCCGTGACCCCTCCCTGCTGTCGACATGGTGGTGTCAGAGCTCGTCTCTCGAGTGCATCTGTGCGGGTTGAGGCAGAGGTCGGCGGCTACGGAAAGACTCCCAGCAGCTGTCCAGGGCCGGGCTCGTCCTCAGCTGCATTAGCATCACTCAGGCTGGTCATTTCTCTGTAAACCTGGGTGAAGTGAAGGGAGGACGGGCCTCGCGGACAGCTGTGGAGTCCTGAACCTTGGCTGACCTCCGTTTTCGGCCAACGCAGGACAAGTCCAGACTGGAGGGGAAGAGAAGCCGCAGCATGCATTATTAGTGTGTTTCTGATGCCTGGCTTGCTTATAGGTCATGCTTATCTAAAAGCCTTCGTTCCACCTCCAGTGTGTAAGTGCAGTGTGGCCCCCAAACCAGAAAGTCACGGCCTGTTTTATGAAACCACACATTCACTTGTCTTCCTGCGGGGAAGCTGCTTACAATTACCCTACATGTCAGATCCTTCAAGTTAATAACAATAATCACCCTGGAGACCTGCTTTGCCATTCACCCATTCACAGCAACAGAGATTTAATAACAAGCTATTTTCCCTCCTATTGCTATCCTGCAATTAAAAGCCATCAGACAGCTCATATCTGATAACCCTGAGCATCTACATCATGGATACAGTCAGAGCTGCCTTTATCAGAAGCCTTCAGCCGTCAGCCCAGCCTTCCATCCGCTCCTCTCAGCTTGTCTATTACACGGGGAAGGCCTTTTCACTTTTGCTTACGTGATAATTGGTCCCCCTCCGTTTGAAAGCTTCCACTCTTCTCTGTCCAACTCCACAGAGCCATTATTCTAATCTGGAGATGTGAAATTGCCTATAATTTTCCCCAATGCCCCCCTCCATCAGCTTGGTTGAGCGTGCAAGCAGCGCTCGCCTCGTCTTCCCGCATGTTTATTAACAAGGCAACATAATGATGAGGAGCGAGGAGGTGAGAAGGGTGCACAAAGAAGGAGATGTTAATATGTCACAAAACTGGTGGTTATGAGAGGAAAGATCAGCTCGGAAAGGGGTTCAAAAACTCGGCGTGCGCTTTGTTCTTCACGGAAACACGGCAGATGGCTGCAGAGCTCGTGGATGAGGGCGCGCTCCTCGGGCGAGGTAAGAGCTGAATGAGTCAGTGTTCTGCTCAGGAAAGGCAGCGACAGCTTCTTAGAAATGTTGTTCTTGCTTGAACTTCACAGCTGAGTCCTTTAAAAAAAAAAAACATGTCAAATTGAAGTTGCATATTTTTGTTGCATGAAGCAGAAAGACATAAGAATAAATATGTTTGTGCTTAGAGTGGATGGAAGTTTGCACTATAATTTTTTTTAAAGGATTAAATATTAGTGATAAAAAATAGGGAATCAAATCTGTCAGTTTGTAGTTTGACCTCCAGGGACGGTTACATTCCAACAGCAATATCTCTCATGTTTGGATTAGAATTTATTTTAAGATCAGGCAATAATTTTTTGTTGACCAGCTCAGGTGCTGTGAAATAAGTGAATAAATAAATTCAGTCACGCTGTTGCAGGACTTGGTGTGGAGAAAGTCTCTGTTGTATCTCATATCCACCTATAACTTGCTAAGTGACGCCTCTAAAGTCAAAATTGCTACACTGAGAAACAAACAGTTCAGTCAGTAAATTTAGTGCATATGTCTGCATGCATTGCATCTGAATATATTTCACTCATTATTTATGAGCACAATTTGCCTCTTCAACAGGTAGAAAACTGATTTCTAATTTTAATATGCTTGTTTGAGCTTTAACGCCGCACTAGATAACAGAAGGTAGAGGGTGTTGTCATATTAGCCACCAAAAATATTCAAATTTCAATCTGTAATAGTTTGTACATTTTATGTTTTGTAATGTTTAGATGCCAAAAATGTTATCAGCTTTGCTGTTTACAACTCATAGCTAAACTCTTTGGTTAGAAATCAGCTGAAGACGTCGGTTGTTTTATTTGTGCAGGTTGGTCTCCAACAAAAAACAAAAAAAAAAGCAAAAAAAAAAATCTACATATATATAAATATATATATATTGGTCACATGAATAATTCACAGCAGCTAAAAGTCTAGAACTTTCAGAAGACTTATGACTGAGAGAGTTTCTGTGTTGGAACACTAATTTAAGTTCATAGACTGGTTTAGCAACAATGCTGATTTCAAAGTCTAACTTGCTAGCTTCTCAAGCCACAGCTAAGCTGCTCTGCACAGCAACAGCTCCGACTCAGCTTGCTGCTTGCTCGCAGGTTCTTGTGCAGCATTAACGAACACAGAAATCCTCTTAATCGGAAACCTTCCACACTTTTAAGTGCAGACGTTAACTCACAAGACAACTCGGACTAAACGATCAAGTTTCCGTTCTCTGCTTTAGCCTGTAGCACAAACGTCAAATTAATATGCCGAATAGCTGACAGAACCAACATGTTTCAAGTGTTGTCTAGTGAAAGCTGTTAATGTTGATGGAAGCTGATCAATTTTCAGTGTTCAGTTTTCAAACAGAATGTGGCGTGAACGATCAAAGCTCATGTTTTATACAATCCAGGATGATTATAGTGATAGCTCTAAAGTCTTCATCAGACCTCTAGCAGAGATCTGTCTGAAAAAAGCTGACATGGCAGCTTGTCTACTAAAAATAGAAAACTTTTTAATTTTTCAGAGTTTTCTGCCTTTCTCTTCTCTCTCTTTTTTTTTATCTTTGGAAGCCAAATGAGTTGAGAAAAAATTATCCTAATTAGCCAGAATTTGAATTAGTTGAGTAATTTTACTCATTCATTTCTGTGTGTTTTAGCTCTTAAATCAAAAATACTTGCTAAAAATCTACACAAACTAATTGGCACGGAGATTTTATTGGTTAAATTCTAACAGTTTGTTTTAACAGTGCCAGAATTGAAGTCAGTGAACTCCCGAGCAGTTACTACTCATATTAGGGTAAACAACTTGGGGAAAACTGCATGCATAGTTTGTTATTCCTCTAATCCCTGTATGTGACATCAGACAAATTGCTCCTAATGTTTGCCAGACAGCCTGAAATGTTCTGGGTGATGAATGAAAAACATAAAAAGAAAGTCACTGGATGGCTCTTTAACGCACTTTTCAGCTTCATTAATCAGAAATCAGCTCTCCATTTAATCAAGAGCACCAGCAAAGATATAAATACCCCAGTCTGAGCCTGATTAAACTGTATGCAAGCAGCAAGAATCGGCAAATCAGTGCGCAGTCTGCTGAAGGGATAGCCCACTCGTTTGTCACTGTATTATGACAGCAGTGATTTTGTTGTTTGAGCTGACTGCTCAACATGCACTCTTCTCCTCTCACGCGAAAAGGAAGGAAAGATTCAAGCGTTTCTTTCCCGATGGAAGAAGAAAAGGCTCATATCCAGCTATTAAAAAAACGACGTGTCAAAGCTGCAGCAAAGCTGCAGCAAACCTCAGCGCGGCGCAGAGTCGGCACCTTGGGTTATATCATTTCACTTTGAAATGAAGGAAAACTGTCAAAGATGAGAGTCAAAGCTTTGATGGAACATCTCAATAAAAAAAAATAAAGCATCTGAACTCCTTCACAAATTATATCGGGATGAAGAAAGTAAAACTAGATTGCGCTGAAATGATTTAAAATCGGTTTTAGAAAACAGCAGTGAGGCGTTTAAAAACAAACTGCCACCAGCAGAATATAGAATATTCTTACAGGAAGCTCTTTGTTTTCTCTCATTCTTTCTGAAATAAATCCAGGCACACATATTTTCACGATGGTTCCTTTATGCAGTGTCTAGTTCAGCTTCAAACACAAAGTCCACATTCTAAGGCTGTGAGGCCGCGCAGGATGACGCTTGAAAACACACACACACATATATGTATATATATATATGTATATATATTTTGCTGCATAAATTGGAATTTGGCAGCAAAAACTGAAGTCAAAATGCACGAGCCGCCGTAAAGTTCATCCTCAGGACAAATGAGTTCATGTCGGCCGCTGGCGGTCCGTTCCCTTCACATCAGCTGCGGCCTCTGCACGGCGTCCTGGTGAGGATGGTGGTGGTGGTTCGGGTACCAGTGGCCAAAGCTGTTCATGTAATTGTTGGGGTGCATGGGGGCTGCTTTGGTCGCCATGGAGACCTCCCAGAGCTGGGGTAAGGCCGGGGAGCAGGGCGAGATGGAGCTGGAGCTGTGGAGGTGCTCCCCCTCTGAGCCGCCGCCGTGTTTCATGATCTTCTTGTACTTGGAGCGCTTATTCTGAAACCATATTTTCACCTAAAAAATATATGAAAAGAAGGATGAAAAGAGTTATTATTATTATTGAGTGGGAAAAAAAAACAAAACTCATTGATTTCTCCAGCAGGTCTTAAGCTTCAGTTACTTTTGTAAATCCCAGTCTTTTTATGAGGATGACAAACATAATAGTTGAGTGACTCCAAACTTCTTAAAACTGAGATCCCCTGGTGTTGGTTGTTTTGTGAAGCCAGTGGTGCGTGACTGGAACAGCTTCAGACCCAGATCAGGAGGATTAAGGAATAAAAACAAGCCTGAGGCGTTGGTGGCAGAATGAGATGCAAATGATTTTACAGATGATGCCAGTTTGATTTCTAACAGTCGATGCAAGAGCTGGAGATGCTGAAGAGCCGAGCTCCGCTTTCTGCAGAGAACTGCAGCAGAAAAAGAAACAAATGAAACAGATCAACTTCTGTTGCTCTGTCTGTCTGTCTGTCTGTCTTTGTTTCTCTTTCCTGTCGAAAGCAAAATAAAACGCGAGGACACCTGAAGATGATTAGTTGACGCTGGCACCTGCTGTTTTATGAGAACACGCGAGAACCAAAGCGCGTGCACGAGACTGGCACCTCCAAACCAATCAATACCCCCTTCCAAAATAATAATAATAATAATAATAATAATAATAATAATAATAATAATAATAATACAAGTCAGTGAATTAATAAATGCATATTTTTGACTGTGAGTAAATTTGGTATTTCTCATTAATTAGGGGGATTTGCGCGTGCGGAGGCCGCGTGTCTAACAGGGAAAAGCAAGCAGCAAATTAAGCCCAGCAGATGAGAGCTGCATTAAAGGATCGAGGCTCCGGTTTGTTCCGCGATCCCTGATAATACTGCCGAATCCAAATGTTTTCCTTTCTTCGGTGAGCAGAGCTCAACATTATTGTTCAAAGCCACATGGCTGCACACGCCTGATCAGCCCACAGTGGAACAAGCCAGCAAGCAGCAGCATCAAACTGCTGACTCGCGGTTGACGCGTGGAGACCAGCGGAGGAGCAGGAAACCCACCTGAGTCTGCGTGAGGCCCAGCTTGGCGGCCAGGTCTGCGCGCTCGGGCAGAGCCAGATACTGGGTCTGCTGGAAGCGCTGGTGCAGAGCCTGCAGCTGCAGGCTGGAGTAGATGGTCCGAGGCTTCCGCATCTTTTTGCCCTTGCCGTTCACCAGACGGACGTCCCGGTTCTCTGTCATCCCGGATTTGTTGGGATCTGAAAGAGACCGCAGGAAAACCCCCAAACAAAAACCAAAGAAAGACAATGAGTAATAAAAACCCCAAACAACATAACAACAACAACAATTATAATATTATTATGATTATTATTAATAATAATATTAATATTAATAACAACAACAATAATAATAATGATAATAATAATAATAATAATAAAGTTTTATCAGACACATTTTGAACTTTTGACTGATGGGTCTAATGCATGACTGCAGGCTGGAGAAAAGGCAGCCGTTTTATTTAAATAGAAAATATTTTCTATTCCATGTTATATATATATATATATATATATATATATATATATATATATATATATATATATATATATATATATATATATATATATATATATATATATATATGAAATCGAGGCCCTCTGAGTCCGCAGTTCCACTCCAGCAGTGATTTCTTTGTTTCTTCTTATTTTTCTCTACCTGTTCTCTCTAGTCTGTGGCTCAGGCCGCCGCCGCCGCTGTGGCCGCTGTGCTGGTAGGAGGTCATGTAGGCGGATGGCGGGTGAGCGTTCACCGTGCCCGGGTAGGCGTATCCCAGCGGGGGGCCGTAGGACGCGTTGCCAGGAAAGGGACTTTCGTGCTGGGAATGTCCCGCGGCGTGGAGGCCATGGACGGGGTAAATGTGCGAGAGTCCCGGGGAGTGCTGCTGGTGCGCCGGGTGTCCGTGGCCGAACTCCAGGAAGGCCGACTTGGAGGGATCGGAGCCGTTCAGACTGTCGGGCATGAAACCCATAGACATCATTTAGCCAAGCGCGAGTCCATAAAGCTGCCGCTCTCAGGAGGAATTCATGACTTTCTGTCAGAAAGCAAAAGAAAACTGGAGCAAGTCCCCGCGTGGATCCACCGCGCCGCTCGAGAGGCAAACATCCACGCAGGACGGAGTCGCGCCGGGCATGTTTTACTGGCAGGTGTCTCTGGGAGGCAGGAGGAGATGAAAAGCGAAAGGTGTCCCGGGTTCAGGTCAGAAGAGGAGCTGACATGGTTCTTCAAACGGTTGGTGCGTGCAGCGCCTCAAACGCGCAGCCCTCCATGGCAGAGCGCTCTGATTGGTCTGCAGCAGTCGGCTGTCACCCGAGCTGCACCATTAACTTCATTAATATGGGATCCAGCCAGGGAACACCTCCTCATTGATCAGTGCATGCATGGATCAGTCCGGGGTTGAGCACAGAGCGAGCAGCTCTCTGATCCACGGCAGAAACATTCAGAAAAGAAAATTTCAATTCGGCAGATTTTAAAGGAGAATCCATATTCTCTCATGGAAAAGTGAAATAACAAATTGACATGAATTTACACACACACAAAAACCCCCAAGCCCCCAAAAAACATTAAAACAAGAACAACCAAACATTTAATGTATTTAATCAAGTTTTTAATTTGACTAAAAAAAAAAAACTCTTGAAATTGTAAATAAAATATAATCTTCAGTCCGCAGTATTTTATTTTCATCATCATTTTATTTGTATTGCTCAAAAACAGATAACATCTGTTTTTGAGCAATATGAATATTTTTAATGAAATGAAAGTTAAAAAACAAATTTGCGTCCCAAACCCCCCCCCCCCCCCCACACACACACACACACGTCATCTGCTTTTTTTCCCCACTTATCAATTTTTTTTCAAATCTACAAATCAATTCATTCTATATCAGTTATTTCATACATTCATCTCCAGAACAAATTTATATTAGCTAAAAATATTTTCCTTAAAGAAAAAAACGTGATATTTTGTTTGAGTTGAAGTCATTTTTGAATATTGTTCAGGGCTTCGACTGTACGCTTTTCTTTTTTATGGTATTTAGATTCCACTAAATAATAGAATCCATGAAATGATGAAGATTGCGTCAGAATGATCTAAACCTTTTACAGTTATTATAGTTTAGTTATTTAGTGTATTCATGCATTAGATCAGTATTTAGCCATTTGCAACGCAAAATGTTCTTTTGATATAAAATGTATTTTTTGTGTAATTATTGTCAGTGTTTTTATTTGTTCTACTTTAAACATTATTTCTTTGTTCAGTTTTTCTTCCAAAATATTTGCTTTCATACACTCTTTCAATTTTACATAATTATTGCCTATTGCTAAATATTACATATCTTCTTTGTGCAGTCATTCTGTCAGTGATTTTTATCAGATGAAAGTACACAGGCAGAAAACATTAAATAATATGCAAATAAGGTTCATATTTTACAACTATTTGATGCATTGCATGTCATTTGTAATACTAAATAAATAAATAAATAAATAAATAAATAAATAAGATAATGGTGGCTAGCACAGATCCCTGTGGCACACCACAACTGACCATCAGTAAATCAGAAGCAGCAACATTCATTTCTCCATGTTGATGTTTCAGGTTTTGCCTTGTTCCACTGTTAATATGCTGAGTTTGCAGAAAGTCTTCTTCAAATCTATGATTATGTCTTAAGACAGCAGGAGCAAAACTATGCAAAAGTGCAAACAATGTTTCGGTTTAATGAAAGAAATATGACCCATATAACTCATTAGTTACTATTTCTATTTAGAATTAGTGGAAGTGGGGAGGAAACTGCAGTCGCAGCAGTGAAGAATGCCCCTGTGTTCACCTCTCAGCCTGGATTTACACTCTTTGGAGGGCTGAACAAATCCACAGGTGGAGAAAAATTCCCCCACAGCGCCTGGACGCACCGTCACATCGTGTCCCGGCTTATTCAGATACCTCCTCTGCTCTAAAATAAATCACTCGGCCCACGATTTGTGCTGCAGCGAAATTACTAACAGAACTTTGGTGGGTTGAGCGGCAGCACCGAGCCGCTGTCCAACCCCGTCATTTTGGTCATGTCCTACCCTGTGTGCTGCTACTGGGAACCCCGTGGCATCAAACAACCGTCCTCCCAAGAAGAGGAGGGGGCGGTTGAACAGTTTCCAAGCGTTTAAGATGGAACAAAGCCGCAAATTATTATCACTGTAAAAAATTTAGCCAACTTAGAGGGAAGGGGGGAGATGATTGTGGGCGACAAATTTCTGACTTCATCCATATGAGGCCTTGTAGATGTAACCCAAACCCGTGGCTGTGGGAACGGTGGGAATACACTGGGACAAACTAGTCTCTGCGTGACGTTTTGTTCAGCAGAACACTGTGAGCTGAAATTCCATTTCAGACGCATGCATTAAAAGCAACATAGAACTCTTTGAAGACCGGGAAGACTATAGTGGCTGTCCTGAGGCGTCTTCGACATTTGAAAGCACAGGAACCAGACTGTGACAGCCAAACAACGTGCAGAGGAGGTGTTGGGACAGAGGCGCTGGGGTGAGCAGGATTTTTTAAATGTATTTTTAAGGCTTGTAATTATGTCAGCATTACGGGTGGAGAACAAAGATGATCCCTGCAGTCATGATGCAGGGCTGTGCAGGACCTGGCCCCGGTCGTTGCCCTGTCAACACACCCCGAAAAGGGCTGGAAGTGTGTAACAGTCATAGGCCTGAATGCAGGTCAGACTTTCTGGCGTCTGTTGGCTGCAAAGTTGGCACGGTTCATACAGCTGCTGGAGGTGTGTTTGATAGAGGTGCTCTCTTTCTCTCTCTCTCTCTTACACACACACACACACACAGACACACACATACGCACACACACAGACACACACACACACACACACACACACACACACACACACACACACACACACACACACACACACACACACACGCACACACACACACACACGCACACACACCAGTTGATGCAGAGTGACAGCATTCTTTGCGTAGAAACTAAAAGCACATTCCCATGCAACTGCTGCAGCTGTGATCTTCCTCTCTGGTGCGTCATGTTCTACAAGTAACCCCCTGTTGCTGGGGCCGAGCTCAGGCTCCCACCATGGACACATACGCAGCCCTGCATGTCCCTCCTGATGCAGGACGTTACCATGATTTCTAAAGTAAAGGTGCATCTCTGTGAAACAAGCTACGAGAAGCAGGAAGGTATCCATTTAATCGCACACCAAGTCTGGATATGATTATAAAGCTGATAAAGCCTGTCCAATTTGAATGAGTGTGAATATCCTTTCTGTTCTCTTACTACTTTTTGTTGTGTATGGAGGGGAAAAAAAACCTTGACTGGCAGTGAAACACACTAAACAAGGCGGCTGTCAGTCCTTTATGCATCAACAAAGCCGAGGCAAACAAAAGGGCTGACATTTTTCTATGACTGTTTTCTGCTGCAGGCTAAAGGAGCTGAGGAGGAGCCGCAGTGAGGGCAGAGGATGATCGGTCCTAATCTGTCCTCCGGGCGTCTTCACACTGCATCACTCATGCTTCCATCGGCCCCAGTCCCATTCCTCAAGTGCAGCCATTTTTATCTGCAGAAATAGTTCTGAGTCTGCTGGCATGTTGGGCCGAGGGCTCGAAGAGTTCAGCAGAATCGAATCATCACTTCTGCAGACTAATGTTTTTCTTTCCTTTTTTTTTTTCTACATTGTGACTTATCTGATGAAAAACAGGAATATGTTAATAATGTTCTTCTGGAATCTTGCTTTACACTGCGAGTGACAAGTTCATTACCAAAGAAGAATCCAATTAATTCCATGAACTGGTTCCTGTTTCCTCATAGAAATGTATTTAAAAGTCTTAGTTGGAGTTTAATAATGTGATTTTCTGATTAACAACTAGATTTTTCATTTATTGTTTTATTTTATGCACTCAGTTTAATTTATGATGTGAGATATTTTCTGTTTTTTTGTGTTTTTGTCACCATTTATTCTTTGACCTGCAAAATGCTGCAACTGCTGATTATTATGGTGAATATTAATATTAGTTAATATTAATATCCATCTATTCTTAACATACACTGCTGTGACAATTTTCTTTATTTTGAGTTTAATCTTCAGATAAACATATCAGTAATCAGTCATTCCATTGTTTAATGTTTTTTATTATTGTTAATTATAATAATGAACAATATCATATTCAAATATTCATACATATAATATGTTCTATGTAGCTACTAGAAAAAAACCCAAAAATATAAATTTAATAAGAAAACAAAGACATATTTGATCTTATATTTCATATATTATATATATCTAAAGTCAGATTCAAATAACCCATCGCTTTGTTTCTGTCAGTGCAAAATAAAGTAACACCATAAACATTAATGTTTGCAAATATCGGGACTTTGTTCATTACTATTATTATTATTGTTTCATTTTCTTTCTGTTTAATTTTTGCTGCAGTGGTTGTCAGGCAGCGACGCTCACAAAACTCATGACTGGCTGAATGAAGGTCCAACGGTAATGAATTAAAAAAGAGAAGAAGTAGAAAACAAAAAAAAAGAGAAAAATCTGGATTCTATTTACCGTAATCGTAAAGTCAAGTCCGTGGTGGTGAGTGGTGTCACGCGGGGGCAGCTGAGGAACACGCCGTCATTAGTCTAAACTGCACAGGGTTTGGTGTTTTGTGGAATCTCCTGGTAAGGCCTCTACAGGTAGGGTTACAGGCCAGCAGCCTTCCCTCAACCGGGGGGGCGTGGAGGGGACGGCACCGGCACCGCTTTGGGGCCTACAACTCTGGGCTCCACAAGCAGCTGTGTGTCTGCTCCACATCTGGAAGGAGGAACCCTGTCTGGGACCATACCCTTGGTGTTTACAGCCATGTTGTTTTTTCACACTCGCATTAAAAAAAAAAAAGAAGAGAAAAAAAATCTCGCCAAAAAAACACATTCCAGACTCATGCAGCTCAACATGGGAGAAAAACTATAGGCGATTTTCCACTGTAAATCGTGTTACAGAGCATCAAGAGGGAAATGGGAGGGAGACAACAAAACGCTTCAGCTGCTCAGGAGAGAAGGGGACAAAGTGTGTGAATCAGCTGAACTGAAGCAGCGGCATCTCATGCTGCTGCACAGCTTCTGAGGACTTTATCACAGCATCACATCAGGATTTCCTTCAAATCATCCACCATGATGGAAGTCAGAGTGAACAGTCTATGTGTTTGCTCATTTCTGACAAACCACACATGTGCGGATGAGAAAGCTGTTCAGAGAGAATAAAACTGTCATCACT